AGTGCCAGTTAATAAGAAAAGGGATGGGCTATCTGAGGAACTTGAAGCTGTTTTCCTGTGTGAGTTTCTGTACTTCTACTGTGTACTTAAAAAAAAAGAATTTAAACAGAAATTCAAAACTTTGTAAGAATCTCCCCCAAACCCGTTTTTAAAAAGCAGCAAGGCTTTTTGTAGGCCTAATTTGTACTTTGTTTCTCTCAGATGTGTCCATTTCATTTGAGTGTATAAATACAGTTATTTCAAAAGTTTAGGAAAAGTGGCTTTGTTTTGGTTGTGTCCTACAGCTGCCAGACCCCATCTGTCTGAGAATTACAAATGTTTTAGTCCAAAAAGATACATTTTACAAACTCTGGATATTGTGGAAGATAATGGGGGGAACAGACAATATTTAGTCAGATAAATACCTTAGAAATGTGGCCATTTAATTTGAGTGACCATATGTCGGCCTGTATGAAACTGTGGGATAGAAACTGCCTCTTGTTACAGAAGATCTCTTTCTGCTTATCTACCTTTTGTGGGAGTTCTATAGGGAAATATCAGATCTAGGCTATCTATGTAGGCTCTCCTACACTAAAAGATTATTAGCTCAGTTTTTCCAAATGGAATTAATATTAAAGCTTAGTGTAGCTTTGGTAGTATGTTGCATATCTGAGAAAGACAAAGGAGGTTTCTAATGTAGAGACAGCATTACTGCTTTCCTTCCTGCTGTTTAAATCCTCATATAGCTGTTATTCTGCATAATTCCTTGTGTGGGAGAAGCAGAAAAAGATATCTATTCCTGTATTCTTGGTGCATGGTAGTTCCTCTCCTCCTTCACATGCAATAAGAACCCTGTCAAATTTTGATTCCTGCTTACTTGTCAAGCAGCTGGAAGGCATCTCCTACCTGTTACATTCCTAAGATATGTCCAGTTCGCTTCCTATATACCGCTACTTTCTTGGATCATCATGAGCTGCTGTTTGACTGTTTAAACAGGTTATCAACCTTTGTTCCACCAAGCTTATAATGGTCGTCCATTATGAGGCTGGGGGTTTTGGAGGACAAAAGGTGGAGATCCACTGCTTTAAATGTTCCACAGAAAATGGAAAAGACCAATCTTACAGTATTATTTTATAACTCCATTATATTAATATTTCTTGCTAAACAATCTTCTTAACGTTCACTTAACATCTTGTTCAGTATTAACTTGTTAAACCATTTTGTGAAGGGCTGGCATTATATTTTTTTATTTTTAATATATTGTATCACCTTTCCAGAAAAGCTACTGAGCAATACCCAACGAACCAAAATAAAAGAGTTTAACTGGAAAGCCTGTAGTTCTCTGAATGAATTAGAAATTGAAAAATTGCTGAATTCCTTATTCTAGTCCATTTGGCCTGTCTGAATATGATGAAAAAACTCACAGAAAGTGTGTTACAGCCCACAAAATTTCTCAACTCCACCAAAGAGCAAGAAAATGAGCATAATGACTTTGTAATTAGCATAAAATAATTCTAGTGTTTTATTTTCTTTGAAAAGCACACGCACACACACAGAGAGAGAGAGAATAAGCACAGACAGACTGTTCGGAAATATGAAAAAAACCCATCTAGTGCTTTAAATTCTCAAAGTAGTGGTCATCTTCATTTCACTACCGTATTTTTCGCTCCATAAGACGCACCTTTCCATAAGACGCACCAATTTTTTAGGAGAAGAAAACAGGAAAATATAATCTGTTTTCTTCGCTCCATAAGACGCACAGACTTTCCACACCCCTGTTTTGTGGGAAAAAAGTGAGTCTTATGGTGCAAAAAATACAGTAATTTGCACAGATCATACATTTTTTTGCTAAAAAAATAGACACTTTTATACAAAATGGGGACTTTTGTACAGAACACTGTTATTTCTGGTGCAAGTATCCCAACAAGAATAACACAAAGTTCTTTGCCATCCTCACTGGAAAGAAGAAAACATTTATCATTGCTTGCAAGGACAAGGTCAGTGAGCATTTGCCCCAAGGATTAACATACAGCTATAGAACAGGGGTGAGAGATCAGTGGCAATCCATTTGTTGCTGGCTTCATCCCTGACCACTGAGCATTCTAGCAAGGGCTGGCATCAGCTGGAATTAAGGTGGCCACTGCTTCACTACCAAAAAAGAGGGCAAGTATTACGAAAAGAGCAACATGGAGGACAAAGAACATAAAAAGAGAGCATATTCTTCATAGAAAAGTATGTTTTTGCATTAAATTTGCATACGATATGTAGATATCATTATAATTAGGTATTAATTATATAATTTAACGGGAAACACACTATTGTTCACCATACCGTTGTATAGCTCAGTGGTTTAGGTATCCAGCTGTGGAGCCAGAGGTTTGAAGTTAAATTCCCCGCTGTGCTTCTATGACACGGGCTGGACTCAATGATCCATAGGGTCCCTTCCAGCTCTGCAGTCCAAGATGATGATGATGATTGCATTAAATGGTGGCTAGGTAACCGCCTTGGGATACAGCATGGAGATAAAAAGGGAATTTACTATAAATCAAATAAATAAGGTATAGCATTTAATAACTCTCTGAAATGCACTATGTCTTGTATTTTCTGCAGCTCACTAAAAATTAATGTCATTTATTTATTTAATTTGTTCAAAATATTTCTATCCTGCCTTTCTTCCCAAAAGTAACCAAGACACGACAGAAATATTTTAATACATATAGAAATAAGATAAACAGAGGTCACTGTAGTTTTGTTGAAATGTTTAAGTAGGCAGCAACCCGTTATTTCAGAGGAATGCTCCGAATACTGCTTCCAGGATTTCCATTCCTTGGATTGACTTCACTTCTAAAGTTCAAATAGAATTAACATGACATGACAGATCTCTCCTGTCCTTCACCAGTAGTTATGTGTGTGGTTTGCCTCTTTTCTTACAAAATGCCCCTCCCCTGAACCATATTACTTTAAAAATGAGAGAGGTGTAATTAGATACATTTACTAGTCAAGATCTTTTCTTTCCCTGCTATGCCAGGGAAACTCCCTGGGGGAGGGGGGAACCACTTACATGTCACCAAAAAGCAGGGCAGCTCTTCAAATAGTCAACTGTCCTTCTTAAAAGAAGACATGTGGTCACGCTAGCAACAAGACCCTGAGATATAAAAAGTTCACAAAATTGCAGCTCGCAGAGAGATTCCTTTCAGATGAGACAGCATCTCAGCACCCCCATCAAGGCATGGGTGAGCAATCATCTGGCTGGATTCTTCAAGAGAAGCAAATCTTCATGTCATCCTTTCACTTTCCAACTCTATGATTACTATAATGCATACGGATGGTGTCTATTAAATCGATGTTATATCTAGGTACGTAGAAATCCCCGCAAGCTGAAATAAGTATATTCCATGAGTCTAAGAATAGAAATAATGATAACCATCTTCCTTCCCTCCATGACCATACAAAAATAGTTTTGATTACAGCAGTCTGTGCATCTGTGTGTAAGAAGAAAACATGAGACGTATGAAAGTGATATTATATTTAGGTTTAAGAGAAGTTGGGCAATACTTTAAAAAAAATAGTAAGGCACAAAGAATCATGTAAATTATACCCATTATTGCTAAATTTGCATCTCTACATATACATTTGTGTATGCACATTTTTCATAGCTGTGTCTCCTCTTCTGTCCCTCCTTTCATGCATTTCCTATTTTTTCTCCATGTCTAAATCACCTGAGATCATGTTGGAGAACACAGGTTCAAATCTTTCCAAAGTTGGTGGTTGTAGTTCAGGACTCCTCTGCAGCACATGCACATCGTGTGGCACAAGATAATGTTTTGTGTTTGTGTTCTTAAAAGGCGTGAATAGTCCTGTATTTTTATTTCTTTCTGTGGTAAAAGTAGAAGCCAGAAATAGCAATCTACAGAATACAGACTTGTTTTTTCCTCGTACAGTAGCAAGAAAGAAACTAGAAACTCTATTGATCGGTAGGAGGTACAAAACGCAGGAGGGTCCATAGGAAAAAAGCTGCTAACCTTTTCATTTGGGTTTCCTCCACACAGTTATTAATCTTAAAGTATTGCCTTTTATTCTGTTGTCTCTTCAGTGTGCAGAGCCAAAGAGAAATATTTTTAATTCTAGGAAAGAAACGGTAAAACTAGCCAACTGTGAAATCAAAAGGAGGGTGGCTTTTTATATAATTATTTCACTTGGAAACGCAAGTCGATACAGAATGTGTGCCAAGTTACTTATCTTTCTGAGTGCTATCTTCCTTTTTACTCCCTTGGGGTATTGAACTAAAAATTGAAAATTGCTTTGTTTTTGTGTGCATTGGATGACTGTGCTCAATTCTTTACGAGAAGTTGAAATCATGTTAGAAATTAACATTTTCTGTATACTGGTAGTTGTTTGAAAATCTTCTTACACTCCCAGCATTTTGTTTCAAGGGTCAGTGGATATGTCACAGAATTGCCATAAGGCAGCTATATTAAGTAGTTGCCCAGGAATAGTTAGAAACCCTTAAAGTATATAGAATGTAAGACAGCTCCCCTCACAAACAAATTACAGGGACAGTAATGTGGTCTCAGGACAATATTTAAAAACTGAGCAATAACATTCCATGAAATGTCTGGGACAGAAAAAATATCTCAGCATTGAAAAGATGATAAAACACCCTACTGTGAAGTACATTCCACAAATTGGATTTGTTTCCTTTGTCACTGCACTTTAAACCTGCCTCAGGGGAGGGGCTCAGAGGTTCAGGCTTCTGAGGTTAATTCCAGTTCATGAGCAAGTTCATAATGGCTCCCAACTCATTTAAGACTTTGTAGGTTAAAATGAGCATTCTGCACTGAGTTTGGAAACATACCATGATGGAGCCAGAAATACCGCATTACCTCAGAGATGGTGACAACAGTATGACACTGCAGATCTTCTTTTATCCCTGAGAAAATGTGCAGGGAGCCACAGATTCAGGGCTTTTTTCTTCCTCTCTTTTCCTTGGGTTGGTTTTTTTTTTTTTCGGTCTTCCAGGGAGAGCAGGGAGGGTGCTCCACTTCTGTAACACATGGACATATGCATTTCTGTTCTGCTGTGTGAACTCCCCTGAAAACATGGCAAAAGGATCATGCAGTATAAATTATTGAAATATACAAACAACAAAGGCTCATGGGTCACTGCACATCTGGCTTTGTGAACAACGCATGTCGTAATAACAAACCAAAATATACCCAGGCCTTCTCTGTTTATAAAAAGCACATGCACTCCATATCCTTTCCTTCTGGAACCATATTTCTTTTGTAGGTATGCACAAAGTATCTATCTATCTATCTATCTATCTATCTATCTATCTATCTATCTATCTATCTATCTATCTATCTATCTATCTATCTATCTATCTATCTATCTATCTATCTGTCTGTCTGTCTGTCTCTATCTCTGTATCTCTCTATCCGTCTGTCTGTCTGTCTGTCTGTATCTCTCTATCTCTCTATCCTTCTACCTACCTACCTACCTACCTACCTACCTAACCTCCCAGGACTGGGACCTAAGGTGGCTTACATCAGTGGTTCTTAACCTTTGTTACTCGGATGCTTTTGAACTGCAACTCCCAGAAACTCCAGTCAGGACAGCTGGTGGTGAAGGCTTCTGGGAGTTGCAGTTCAAAACTCCTGAGTAACCCAAGGTTAAGAACCAGTGGCTTACATCAATCACTTCATACATGCTCTCAGCAGTTTAGATTTGTTTCATCCATGAATTAGTTTTCAAATAACCCATTGCAAGTTTGTTGAGCAAGCTACCGATGAGTGTTCACAATGCTATGTTGGCATTTTTCCCCCACGCAGTCCATGTTTACTCAGCAGGAAATGCTCTGCATTCAGTGTTCAATTATGCTCACTCACAAGTAAAGAGAAATAAGATTGCAGTCTTCATATGTTCAATTTGTTTCTGATAAGATGCAGAAACTGAATGTGGATTGACTATGGGACACAGAACCCCAGCGCTGGCAGTCTTATCCAAAACTAGATAGAAGCAGGACAGGAGAATGTTGGAGTTTTTGCATCCTCACATTTTGCTTCTAGTAGGTGTGGATGGGAGGGATCTTTTTGGTCTGGGGTGATTGCCAGTTTATCCAGCATTAACTCATCCTTCCTTCCCTGCCTCTGATTCAAAGACAGCCCCACCTTTCTGCTCATGATTTCTTCCCTTCTGTTTTGTCTGTTGTAAGCAGTGTGTCTGTTGTCCTGTTGCTGCAAGGCAGTCATGTTTTTTAGTTTGCTGTATCAGCTGTTCAGAACTGTAAGTAAAGAAAATGGTTTTTAATTTTCTTTCTACTACAGATGCCTCAGAGCAAGTTCTTGAGACTGTAAGTGCCAGTTTATGAGAAAAAGATGTGGTCCAATCTGAGGAATCTGAAACTGTTCTGTTCTGTGACTTCTCTGCAGTTCTGCTGCACAGCTGGAGGAATCTGACCAAAATTGAAAACTCTGCAACAGAGAAAACTACTGAAATCCTGAGAGAAGATGTGCATGGTGGAAATGCTTATTCCCCCCTTTGTTCCTTATGTGTTCTATAAATATTTTATATGCTTGTTAAGGCAATGTTATTCCTGGCAGATTGACTTCTCGCTTGTTTAGTTTTTCCCTGATCCTTGAGGGTTGTAGATAACTTGAAATATACAGAGATTTAGCATTCTATATTTAGGCTTTCTTAATAAGCACCACATGAAGATTAGGAATGCAAGCTGGTTGTGGTGAACAGAATGGGAAAAGTTCTGATGGCTGAAAAAGTGCCTAAGCTAAGAGATTCAGTTGACAGAGCTGCAGTAGTTTATTAGTACGTCTTTGAGATGAGCTATTGGTGTGGCTTGAAATGAATGACAGAAGCATTGATCATCATCCCAACTTTCCTAACTCTTTGCTCGAAGAGAGAGAGGCACAGTGATCCCCCCACAATAACCATGAGCCTGATCAGAGGTTGACATTTGAAGCATTTCTCATTGTCATCTCAGCAGTTCTGACAACCGATAACCAACTCTAACAACCAGCTACTTTAAAAATAACAACCTTCATTTCAGGAAGTAAGGGAATTGCATGTCTACAGGTCCCCTTCCATCTACACTACACAAACGCACACACTTACTTGGCAGGCATGGTTTCTACACAACTCTCTTATTTCCTTGGGGCCTGGTAATAGGAAGCAGTGTCGGTGGATCATGCACTCATCGTAATGAAATGATTCATTCCTTTCTTTCCAGTGAAAGAGCAGCTTTGTGAGACAGCAGATTGAAGGGATGACACTGTTCGAGGGATGCAGAATGACTTGATGTTTGAATGCCAGGAAATATGGGTGGCAGCTGAGCTTGCAGTTAATTTGCAGCAGAAGATTCAGACAGCAGAAAAAAGCAATATCACTGTCAGGGTTTTTATAAAGGAAAACAGTTCTGATTTCATGCACAATACATCTGTCTGACTGTCTTTCCACTTAATGCTATCAATATACAATTGAAGGTTATATTTTTTTCCCCCTTGGAAAATAAAATTGATGAAATGGAAATGAAATCCATGGCAGGAAAACTGCATCAAGGCTAGAATAGTGCAAGTTAGTTATTATTCAAAACAAGAAGACATAGTCTTTGACTGCTTTTATATAACAGATACAAGTTTTAACCAAAAACCTATGTATCAGTGAAATATCAGTGTAATATGTATGCTGTTTCAAATACTGATGTTTTTTGCAGTTCTGATGGTATTATTTCAGAGACCCACAGCTGATTATATTTTATAAAATTCCCCACGACTATGGGGAACACTGAAATGTGTTTCATTCACAAGTATGTTATTTCTCTTGCCAGGTCTTGTAAATTTTTCCTACTCTTCAACTCTGTCTTTATCTCGCATCCCCTGGAATTGCAACATCAATTATTTTTCATTCTCTGTTATGTCTGGTGTATTATGCTCAAGGTGTCTGTCCATTTGAATGCGAAAGTCTCATGAGGTCTTAACTTGGTCATTTCTGACACCTTCTCTACCTGTTACTCATTATTATTCAAAAACAGCAGGCACAGTCAATCAAAATTATAAAAACACTGACTGGTATTATATAACAGATACAAGTTTTAACCAAAAACCTAAGTATCTGTTTATTATTATTATTATTATCTGTTTCAAATAGTAGCTGCCCTCCACCTTTCTTCTCCAGAGGACCTAAAAAAACAACTTATTTAAAAACAAGCTGTATGGAAACTGGAAGGGAAGGAGGGGGGGAGAGAGAGAATCGGAAGCCCCAGTTTTATAACTTTTGTTATTCTTTACCTCTTTGTAAGCTGTTTCGAATCTCATGAGCACAGTTTTGGCTGCAGTACAGCAGTTTAACCACTGCACCACACAGTGGTTAAACTGAATACAATCTCATAAAAAGAATACAATCTCATTTTAAGACAAATTTTACAGATTACTGAATGATTGCTTTGTATATACTTAAAGAACTGTAATACGTGAGAAACAGTGCCATTCCTTGATCCTAGCCACGATTTTGCAATGCCTTGGATTAATTTCCTGATTATGATACAGTATATGTAATATTGATAGAATTGAGGACATATTGAAAAGATTAATAGTAAAGTTTCTCTTTCTTTATGTATCTAATTTGATCTCAGGCATATCTACTCAGGCGGCCTATCAAGTTGGTTACAACTTATTCCCGAGTATTTTTCCCTATTTATGGCCTGCCTTTATGTAAACTACTTGGGATACCACAAAAATAATACAGCATGATTAAAACAAGATGTCTATAAAACTGGCAGTAATCATTAAAAAAACGGAAGAGCATAAAAAGCAGAAGCAGCATAAATGTAGTTTACAAAGTCATCATATTAGTATGTGCAAACATATTTTTAAAAGAGCAAAACTAAAGAAAAAGAAAACAGAAATGTTTAAAGACTAACTGTTATATCAGTGTGAGCTTTCACATACAATTACTTCTTCAGACATGTATGCATAGATGCTCACATTGAAATATAACCTTTAGTCTTCAAGATGCCACAACGTTTGTTTTCTATTTTTATTTTTCTCTGAAGCAGTAGCATAACAGAACTTAATCTATAAAACGCTCTGAAACAGAACAGTCACTGCTGCCTTTTAAAAGGGGTTAGATAGGCCTGTCTTAAGATGTTCTCCCATATCTTGGGTCCATGATTGAAAAGATCCAATCTTGGGTGTCTGCCATCAGCTGACACATCCATTTAGGGTACCCAAAATGGTCCTAACATGGTCCTAAGCATGTTAACGATCTGTTAAGTTATATTACAACCTATGTGGCATTTCAAGGAAATGTCATGGATACTGCAAACATTTCTGGTCAATCTGTTAGCTACATTATTGGAAACTCAGATTGAATAAGATATGCAATGAATATGGTTGTACCCAGTTAGTTTTAGGTTTCTTTTCCTGATATGTAGTTAGAATTTTGTTTAAAATCATGTTACTTCATGTAGTAAATTGTACTAGAATAGACCCATTGAGTTAATAGAGATTTAGTGAGTCAACTTCCATGCAAGTTCCATTGATTCAAATGACTCTACTCTAACTGCAACATACTATGCTAAAGTAAGTCACAGTTAGAGTCGGCCCATTTGAATCAATTAAACCTATGGAGGAGCTGACTTACTAAATGCTCATGGATTCATGAACCTATTCTAGTGCAATTTACTATGCCAAGGTACAGGATTTTGGCCCTTTACTCTTCAGTGAGGCACATAAGAAGAGGAATCACCATTTTTAACATTTAGTTCTTGTCTGAATTCTTCCAGTCAAGAAAGGTCACATGAAATGTACGTGGTATCTACAGAGTATAAAACAATTTTATCTTAAAGGAAAATGGACATTTTGATGCTTTTGCTTTTAATATGGAATGTTTCCATATTTTAGGGCGTTTCTGAAATACTGGTTTGGCTGTTTTTTAATTTTACTTGTTTGTTTCCCTTTGTGAAATATCATATCTGCTGTACTTTCCAACTGAGTTGGTGCATTTCAGCTCCCTGGCAGATTTCCTCTAAACAGTGTTTTTAATCCCTTTCTGGTCATATTCTACAGTGTGAAGGAATGGGATTTTCCAAGATAAGCTGAATTCTTTCTTCTTCTTCTTTTCTTAAATATAGTGGGGAGGGTGGCTTAATCAAAAGATCCAATCCTCTTTAAAACATGAAACCCTACACCAAATAGACACTAATTCTAATTTGTAACAAAACCAGGAGAAAAGAGGGAAACTCCAGTGGTTACATATAAGACGCAGTGTGAGCCAGACAACTTAATAACACCACTTATTAAAACAGCCTTAAAGGTAATCCCATTAAACCTATCCAGCAGAACATGGATACGTCTTTGAAATCTGCCTGAGAAGCAGATGGATTACAAAATGGAATGTGAGTGGCTTCATAATAAACCTCATCCCTGGATTTATTCCTAAAATTTGTATCTACTGAGAATGCTTGACAAAGGAAAGAAAATTATCATCTAGGCACAAAGCAGGGTGTGGGAGCCATTATATTACTCTTTTCATTTTGAATAATGTTCAACAAGAAGCCTATTCATGTTGGCACAGCCCCTTTCCTAGCCAGAAGGAAAGAGAAAACAAATAAAGTAACTTTTTAAAAATCTGTGGTGAACTTGCTAAATTCTCTCACGAGTTATCAGCAGGTTACTAGGGTTTGGCCAAAAGAGTAACAGAGAATGTGGGAACTAGTCACGTAAGAATAACCTGATATCTGTTCTAGAATCCCTTTCCCATTGTTTTCCTCACTAACCTTTTAAGTTTTCAATGTGTTTATAGGGTTACAGACATGAAAACAACTCATGTTTTGTAAACAAGAACGTGACAGATATCTGTGAAGATTTGCAATCAACCAGATGTGGTTATCTGGAAGTTGAGTCATGGCAACTGGACTTCTTTCTTGTTAGGTTGAAATATTTCACTACTCATCCAAGCAGCTTCTTCAGTCTGAGGAGAGATGGTAGGAGATCCTTGATATATCCTCCACATTGGTTTCACTTCCACCTGGTCTGAATAGGCTCCTTAGAAGGACAAAGGACTGGGAGTGAGGGATAATCCCACTTCTGCAGTCCTTCTTCACCCATTGATTGATTGATTGATTGATTGATTTGATTGGATTTGATTTGATTTGATTTGTATCCCACCCATCTGGTCTATACGACCACTCTAGGCGGCTTCCAGAACAACCAAAACAATAAAATAACACAAGAATATTGTGTCATGGCTCATTAACAGTGGTCTTTCTGGTGGGTGTGGTCCTGATTTTTCTGGGAACAGAGGAAAGAGCAGCATGACAAATAGGAGACATTGTATCAGAGGCCTTCACCCCTGTTGAGTGAGGGATTTGCTATATGCACATGTATGGCCTCCCTGACCCCTCTCTCAAACCACCTATCTTCTTGGTCCAAAATGAGTACACCTTAGTCATCAAATGAGTGTCCTTTGTCCTTCAAATGAAGGAACACTGTTGATTGTGGTCCTGAGCCATTGCCCCTCCTGTGCTGGGCCATTCTCCTGTTTAGTGACTGTTTGGTTTCTCCAGTGTAGAGCTGTGAACACTCCTCTTTGCATTGGACCCCATACACTATATTGCTCCTTTTGTGTTTTAGTGTCCGGTCTTGTGGGTGGACGAGTCTCTTCCTTAGTGTGTTTGTGGGTTTGAAGTGCACAGATATGTGGTGTTTATCAAAACTCCTTTTTAGTTTTTCAGACATACCCACTATGTAAGGAATGACCAGATTTTTCCATTATCTCTGGATCTCAGGTTGTTCCATTGTCCTCCTGGGTCAGGACATTGCCTTGTAAATGGGTGATGAGAGTCAGATCGCAGGTATTGGTCAGTGTGTGTTAGATTTCTATTCCTAAAATGCCGTTGGATCCTATGATGCCTTCACAGTCCAGGAAGCCCCCATAGAAAATCCCTCACACAACAGGGATGGACGCCTTAGATACAATTGGTCTCCTATTTATCATGCTACCCTTTCATCCATCCCCAGAAGGATTAGGGACACACACACGAAAGATCACTGTTAACGACTATCAACATGGAGGATATATCAGGGATCTCCTACCAACTGTCCTTAGACTGAAGAAGCTGCTTGGATGAGTAGTGAAACGTTTCAACCTAACAAGAAAGAAGTCCAGTTGCCATGACTCAGCTTCCAAAGAACATGAGAGGATTCCAAAAGCTCAATGAATCCTACATTGCCTTCCTACCTGAGCCAGTCAGATGTTTATGGGAATCTGAGTGTCTCTAAAAGGACACTAGGCAAGTTGGATACCAATCTGTATGCATTCCTGGTAGAAAGAAATAAGTCAGGTTGCCACATTCAAGTTCTCCAAATCTGGCTAGTTTAATTGAAATATTATGCAAATAAGGTAAATATAGAAATATGTATATTAATGGTTGCTTTGTTTTTCTTTGTCTTTTCCCTCACAGACACAAATATATGCAAACGTACCAACCCATGATCTCGTTTGTTTCCTTAAACCTGAGAGAGTAGGAAATTTTTTATGTAATTTTCCCCTTCCTCTCCACATGCATTGAAGAAGGCAGGAGCCTTCAAGAATAGGGCGGTTTGAAAAAAAAGTACTGTATTACCATCACCTCCTGTAAGAAATGCTGCCAACTAGTTTTTTTATTTTCATTTTTTCTGATTTAACATAAAAATAAACAAACATAAATTGATCTAAAAAAACAAAAACCAGAACAAAATCAACAAGAACAGTAAATATGCCACTATAAACCACCATTATAAATATGCAATTATTATTTTGTCACCTGGCAGGACAAAGTTCCAAACAGAGTAGTCCTAGAACGAGCTGGAATTTTTAGCATGTATACATTACTGAAACAGCGACATCTACATTGGCTCAGGCATGTCGTGAGAATAGCTGATGGTCAGATTCCAAAAGATCTCCTGTATGGAGAATTAGTGCAGGGGAATCACCCCAGAGGGAGACCACAGCTGCAATACAAGGAGATCTGCAAGCGGGATCTGAAGGCCTTAGGAATGGACCTCAACAGATGGCATCTAAACATTCAGTCTGGAGGCAGGCGGTGCATCATGTCCTCTCCCATTTTGAAAAGACCCTTGTCCAGCAGGCCAAGAGGCAGTCCTGAAACCAGCAAAATCAGGGAGCTGGACAGGGGACAGTTTGTATTTGTCTTCAGTGTGGAAGGGATTGTGACTCTCGAATTGACCTTCTCTAGACGCTATTCCAAGCCCTCTATTCAGAACACAATACCATAGTCTCTCAAGACTGAAGGATGCATAATCTAAATTTTTGTTAGCATTCTTAGAACATTCTGCTTAGTACCAAAAGCACTATGAAAACCACTGTTGGAAAATGGCTTTTTCCTACATAGTTCTTTAACATTTCCAAATATCAAAGGGAAGCCATCTTGATCTTCTGTTGCTCTGCCAGGACAGGTGCAAGAAGGCAGGCAGCTGATGGATAACATTCTCAAATACACTGGTAATCCCTTCCTTGTGAAATGGTCCAATGAACTCAAGAGCAGGTTCCTACGCGTCTTTCCAAGCTCACAATCTATTCCAGAACACCTTTACCTGGAAATAAGTCCGAATGAGGCTTGCCTCCTAGGATGCAGGTTACAGCTTTAAATTGATATAACAACTTCCAAAGAATTTGTAGTGTTATTTTTTTTAAATGACAAATATTCATGATGAAATAGGGGGCTGGTTTTTCTATCTTTCATGTGATGTTTAAAGAGCAATTGTATGAAACCTTTTCAAATAAATTGTATGAAACATTTGTGCACTCTGTACATTACAAGCAGAAAAGCATTGGATTCAAAATTTAGATTGAATAATAAAGCTGGGTATATGACAACGACCTGAGACATACCTGAGGATATAACTCCAATCACACTTGAAGATTACTGACCCATAAATATGTCAAAAGAAATACAATACAGTCACATGTTGTATTATTTCACACCACAGACAGTAAATTCAGTAGTCAATAGCCCCTGGCTGGATCAGGCAAGGCTTTGTAAGCTTCGCATCATAAAAGGACATAGAGAGAAGAATCTGGCCCATGCCTGTAGCTCTTCTTAGCACTATAGTGAGGTCATTAAGAGTTCAAGGTACAGCACATCTGTCATCATAGATCCTAAATTACCTTCAGTGCTGCAAACCAGTGACTGCATGGCTTAGTGGACAGAATGTTTACTTCTGTTACAACAGGGAATGTAATTAATATTAATAGGATTTTTGTCTAGTTCTGTAATTCCAATTTAATTCTCTGCTCCCCAAAATGTAAGTTGACTGTTTACATTTGATGTGGAAAAAAACACTTTTTAAAAACAGAGAAGGAAAAACAGAGGAAGAAACAACAGAAAAGCTTGGAAAATGGTACTTCTGAATCTGTTAATTTATATTTGATTGTATTAAACACTGCATTGAACTAATATGATGAAGAAACAGTAAAAATAATTAAGCAAGGAATATAATGGGTTTTGCTGTCAGGCTTTAGTAAACCTAAGTTTCAGTTTGAAAAAGCTAAAATTTCTTACCTCTCTTCTCTCCGAGGAAAATCTGAAAATATGAAGATGAGCTTAATGCCCTGCTAAGAAATCTGTATTACTAGAGAGCCCTTTTGATGAGAAAATAGTAGGCCATAACTATTCGTTTCAGCCCCCAAAGTATTATAAATGCTCTGCAAGTCCCAGCCTTTCCTCGTCCTTGTACACAATGAATTGGCAACTGAGACGGGGGGAATGAGGGAGGTGCTAATCTTTGGAGAACTAGGGTCAGTTATCTGTATTCCCTGTCCACAGATTACAGGCAGTGTGCTTCAGAAAACTAGATGCTGGAAACAATTAACTAGGATGTGATGTTCCCTTTGAGAACTCTTTGCATGGTTCTCATGCAGGCCTTACAAAAGTCAGATTTCTTGGACTAAAATTCCCCAGTGCTCCAGCCAACATACTTACTCAGAATCTTGTTGCTAGCTGAGCACACTTTGAACCTTACTACATCATCAAATATCTTGAGATTTGCTCCACTTATGAAATGGGTGAATTTGATGTCATTATTCCTACCTGGATGGCACAAAGGCTGAATTGGCCCAGCACTTTTGCTTGCAAAACAGCTTTTCTCTCTCCTGACTAGAGATTCCTACCATTTTTCTTGCTGGAAGGATTCACAAGGACTTTTTTCTGTGTGGACAGAGGGAGCGCTTGACTATCAGGGAGGAGGAGGGGAGAAAATGAAAGAAGCACAAGCTAGAAAAAATGAAAGAGAGGAGGGATTGGTGTGTGAGAAAGGGGTGAAAAGGGTGGAGAGAGAGCATGCATACACACTCAAGCAGTGCCAGTACTCACCACTCTCCCTAAAGCCTCTGTTCCCCTAAGCTTCCACTTCTTTTTTTTAACAAATCCTTTACTTACTTTTACTTTTATTGGACTTATACCCCTCCCCTCTAGACAAAGTCTACTCGGGGCGGCTTACATGAATAATAAAACATAGTAATATAACATACATAATTAAAATCAATTAACTAATGCCTATATACATTGTCAAGATGGGATAGTTAAGAAACAGGAAATCAGCTTAATTGACTGGAGGAAAGTTCTGCCTAAAGAGACAGGTTTTTAAATGGCTTTTAAAAACACCCAGCGAGGGAGCCAGATGGATTTCCATTGGGAGGGTATTCCATAGCCAAGGGGCCACTGCCAAGAAGGCCCGATTTCTTGTTCTTTCCTTCCGGGCCTCTCTCAGCGTATGGTCCCTCAGCTGTCCCTGCTGGCTTTGTCGAGTGATTCGGGTAGATTCCGCAATCCTGTTTATTCATTTGTTAAATTTTTAACACCTTCAGGAACTCTATCACTGGCAAGATAAGATACAGACGTGCTTGGGAGGAAGGAAAGCCTTCTTAAGGCAGTTCCTTTGCACTGTACCATCTACAGCTACTTCAAATGGAACTTCAAGTAGAAGGTTTTTTTCCTTCTCTGCTTGTGCAGTCAGTTATTTTGGAGAGAGTCCAATGCTCTGATTAGATTTCATAGCAAGAGAAATGAGTGAATTCACATTTCCCACCTGTGTAATTACAGCATTTGATATTATAAGCCCAAGGAACTGGGCAGGACAGGATTAACAGAATGAGTATGATTTTTAAGAAGACTTGAAGGGATGGGTCATTTGCTTCTTTCTGAATGCAGCGCATGTTGGAAAAGCAAATGTAGCTGTTCTCACCCATTTGGTCCCTGTGAGCACAGAAACTTTCCCTTTTTCTACATTAGTTACTGTTATGATATACCGAGAGGTTGGAAATGCTACTTTTGTGGACTACAGACTCCAGAATTCCAAAGTGCCTGAACTCTGCTGTATTTGTTCAGGAGATTCAGTTGGAGATGATACACAGCTTACTTCATAGCCTCAAATGCTCCATCATTTATGAAACTATGCATTATGTGTTGTGTGTTTCCAACTTATGGTAACCCTAGTAGAATTTCTGAGACATGATAGATAATTAAGGAGTGGTTTTATCGTCATTCCTGTCAAGAAAGCTTCTACAGGCTGAGCGGGGATTCAGACCCAGGTCTACGGAGTCATGATTTGACATGCTATCAGCGATACTACATTGATTTTGTTTATGGAACTAGACATTTCAAAGCTGGCCAATCTCCTCCCCAACCAGCCTTGGCTAAATAGTGACAAGCCTCACTTAAGAAAGATGAATCTTTTTGTTTCAGACTTTACTTGTTTACTTCCTCTTGAAGTGCAGCTCTTTTGTAACTACATTTGTGAACCACTTATCGTACATGAAATATCATTATTAAATTCATTATCTAATGACAGGAAGCCTTGCCTTGTTTGGTTTTATTTTTTTTTAAAAAAACCTTTACCAGTGGCCTTTGATCTAGATTTGTAGTACCCTCCACTTTGCACAAACTCTGAAGCAGAAAAATTAATTATCCAATTCTTTTGTTTTCTCAAAGCACTTCTAGCTTGGCCACTACTCATTTACTGGCTCCTTACCACTCATATCTTTAGAAAAAGGCTGAACATACTTGAAAACCACTCAATATGCATTCTATAATTTCTAGTCATGTCCCATTAACATTTTCTTTCCAAGTCTACAAGTATTATACAGTTGTATACCAGCAAAATAGGGCTTGAATTAACAGGTGTTGGGTGTGAAATCCCCAGATTGGAGGAACAATAAGAAGTTGAATTCATAGAATAATATGTTGTTCAGATTGGTAGCAGAAGAATATAGCATGGCTATTTGAGAAAAATCTAATAGACATCATGGAAACTTGTATGTTCAGGTTGATCAAAGAATACACCTAGAAGAGCCTTCAGTTTCTAAGAGGCCTTGAAGATGACTTTAAGTTCTCATCTCTCTAAACTGCTATCACCTTATACAACTCACATACCCCACAGGTAAGTCTTAAGCTACGGTTCTAAAGAATCTTGCTAGTAAGTAAGAACTATAAGAGCCTATGGGACGTACAACTGAATAAAAGATTATGAAGTCTATCAGGACTATTAGCATGGCAGGTCTTCAACAGATAAGACCTTTTCAAGCTGCAAAAGCTGTATTTGAGCTGCTGTAGTTCACATGAAAAGGAAAAATGGAAATCTCCATCAGCCATCCAATCTATTCATAATGTTCATAAACATATATTGCTGGCTGGTATTTCCCTGGTAGAAAAGTACAACTCGTATTTCCCTTAAGACAATCTTTCTTTCTTTCTTTCTTTCTTTCTTTCTTTCTTTCTTTCTTTCTTTCTTTCTTTCTTTCTTTCTTTCTTTCTTTCTTTCTTTCTTTCTTTCTTTCTTTCCCTCTCTCTCTCTCTCTCTCTCTCTTTCTCTTTCTTTTTTTCTTCAAAGATGAGGTTGGAATCATTTGTTGTTTTTTTAATTATTTAAACCCGTGGGGTTTAAATAAGTATTTTCAGGCCTATCTCATTTTCTGGCATTACTTTTCAATTTCAGAACTTTCAGATGCATCACTATCGAAGTGCTCCTTAAAACAATCACTTTTTCTTTTCTCCTTTTCCTAGTTGCCTCCACTAGTGATTCCTACCCTCTATGAATAAATGCACCCCGATAAAGATAAAGATATAAATCCTCACTTGTCTCATCCTCATACATTAAGGCAAGATATGTTATGGAACTTAGAACAGAAGAAAATAAGAGCACTTTAGTGCATATTGAATACATAAGGCTAAATGTTTTATGCAAATGTAATTGCTGTTTGTTGTTTAGTCGTTATGTCCAGTCCGACTCTTTGTGACCCCACACCAGGCCCTCCTGTCTCTCACTGACTCCAGGAGTTTGGTCAAATTCATGTGGGTAGCTTCAGTGGCAAAATGTAATAGATAATGTAAAAAGCACAGATAGCACTTTAACAGAAATACCACACATTGCATAAAATGATGATGGCTGCTGGTTTGCTGCATGGGCTTTTGAGCATCAGAAGTACTGCAGAGATTGTCTGCATTTTTAAAGTAATCAACTAGTCATTCTGTGTGTATGTGTACACGTGCTTCCCTTCTCAAAAGGAAAGATCTGTTGTGCTCAGTTTGTGTAAGCTATAACAACAGCTACAACAACAGTGTGCCATCAGGTCTGTTCTGACTGATGGTGACCCTTTTCAGCGTTTTCTAGGCAGAGAATACTCCGAAGTGGTTTACCATTCCCTTCTTCTGGAAGCCTCCTGAGGCTGTGCAGATTGCCCGAGGCCACACAGGCTGGCTCTTCTGAGATGTAAGTGGGGAATTTAATTCCTGATCTCTGGCTCCATAGCTGGATGCATAACTTCCTGAGCTATCCAGCCAGCTGTATAAGCTATAAAGATCTTGATTAAAACAAAATAGTGCACTCTTAAAAATTCCTTATTAAGGTGTCTCATCCAGTCAAGGTAGTTGAAATTAATAAGAACAAAGAATGTAATGAGTATTCTTTACATCCTTACACCTAAGGAGATCTCTAACTCATCTACTTCCCCTCCTCTTGATGTTGAATGAGATTTTACTATGTGGACCAATGTCTCTGTGAAGATATATTTTAAAATAGAAGACCACAGCCAGCAACAGCAGCACTGTTTTTCTATTAAGAGTAAAATAACTATTGTTAGGACTGAATATGATGTTTCAATTAAACTCACCTGATCTGGACAAAGTGAGTCTTGGACCATTATTGCTTAATCCTCTCACAAAAAGAATACAAAGATTTTTGCCTATCTCTAGGTACAGTTACCATTTCCCATCTCACTGTGTAATGTCAGCATTATGCTTGATAATGATTTTGTTATAGTTAACTCCCACAATTCTTATTGTATTGCAAACACATCAAGGTATGAGCATACAGAAGAAAAAGAGGAAAAATCTAGCATACGGAAGGCTAGCAGCATGTTTACTTAACTGTAACAAGAATTGGGGGGGTTAGAGTAATGAAATAATCCTGTGCTACCTATAAATTAACATATTTCTTTTAGTATGAGCTTGTGTGAATTACAATTTACTTTTTCAGACACATGGAGTGCAATGTTCAGTCTGAGGTATCTATACCTATTGTATATGATTTTGGAGCGTAACAATTATGGTGG